GTGGTGGTTGTGGTTGTGGTGGTGGTGCTGCTGCTGGTGGTGGTTATGATGCCAGGCACCAATGGCTCATTCCTGTCATCCTGGCTACTCAGAAGGCTGAGATTTGAGAATCGCAGTTCAAAGCCAGCCTGGGCAGAAAAGTTGGTGAGACTTCTCCCCAACTAACCACTCAGGGAAAAAAAAAGTCAGAACTGGAGCTGCGGGGCAAGTGGTTGAGTGCTAGCCTTGAACAAAGGAGTTCAGGGATAGTGCCCAGGCCCTGAGTTCAAACCCCAAGACGGGCACACACATACACGCAGAACAAGAAAAAGAAAAAAAAATAACTCTCTCCCCACGACCTCCGCCCTGGCCCCCCAGCGCCGCGCTAGGTTACCGCAGCTCTGATAGCTCTGCGTAAACTATCCGGCCTTGGGAGGAGGAACTCCAGATGACCAGTCACAACGCAGCCGTCACCGCCCTTGGGAAATGCGGCTTGCGCGGGTCCTGCAGCGGCAGGCGCTAGAACGCCTGCGTCATAGCGGGCAGCGGCGGGCGTGGGTGCCTCCGCCTCGTAGGCCTTTTTACCCCGCTGCATTGTGGGAGTTTGACCTTCACCGCCACCGAGAAGACACGATCGGAGACGCCATGGGAACTTCCACGGATGGTGAGGCTCTCGCTACACACATCCGCTCCCGCTTCCCTAGGTCCTTGTGGAGCGCTTCTTGGGCGCAGTTACCTCCCGAACTCTTGGGTTTTTAGGCCCCAGGGCTTCTCCCCAGAGCGCTGGGCCAATATGGCTGTTACTCCCACCCTGACGTCCCGCTCTGAGCCTCCTAGTCAGGCGCTAACGTTTCCGGCTGGTGTGATCCAGGCGGCAGGCAGTGGAGCATAGTTGCCAACGAGTTCAGGGCTGTCGTTGGGACATCGGGAGTGATGGGCTTTTCAGAACTGCATGATAAAAGAATTTACTGAGATGAGGGAATAGGCGAAATCGAGGTTTAATAGGATGGCATGTAAAAGGAACACAATAGCAGGTCGCTCAGTCTGTAGTTTTTAATACCCCGAGTTACGCTACTTTTGATTGGCTCTTTTTTGGTGGACCTTATTGATTGGCTGTCTCTTTCTGGATTGTGGTTAGCTTTGAATTTCTAGTGGAAAGATCTCAGCTTAGTTTTCAATTCCATCTGGTCTCTTTGGGGAGATCGGCCAATCTCAGCATGTCACCCTGCCCTTGTCCTTTTCTTTCTTTTCTGTCGACTGTGTCTCATTAAAAAAGGTTCTGTGTGTGTGTGTGTGTATGTGTGTGTGTGTGTGTGTGTGACCCCCACTGGGAGATCCTATGCCTCCCATCATATAGAGGTGTAGAGGAAAGGTAGTTGGGTCCCTAGAGCTGTACAGTTCTGAAGAGGTAGGTGCTACTTTAGTGGCAGCAGTTTCTCGAGCCCAAGGGCTACAGGTTTGCACTACACAGTATTGCCACCTGGAGGAATCTTCACGGAAGATTGGGAAAGGCCTACAGATAATGAGATGCTGGCCAACAGGCTTTGAACTAGGAGTGGATTGGAGGTGGGGAGGGGAACCTGGGGACACATTTGAAAAGGAATAGATTAGAATGGAGTAGCCTACTTGGAGGACAATCAGGAAGTGTATTTAGGAGATTTAAGTTCAAACTAATGCAGGATAAGGCAACCGGCAGGCACGAAATGGGCACAATAGAAGGGAAGTCTGTTGGGGGGGGCTGTGGTGTCTTGTCAGCTGGAATGAATTGGAGAGGCTCTGGTTTTATGGGCAGTTGTAAAGAAGATGATCTGTGGACTGAGAGCAGAAATAAGGAAACAGAATGCTTTGGGGAAAGATGGACAGGCATAATGGGCAGCTACACAGAAAACCTGGGAGAAAGGAGGTCCTTTTACATTTGGGAAATGAAAGACTAGATATTGGGCCTAATTTGAGGAGAGGATTACTGGTAACTAACATACATACCCGTGGAGGAACTATTTCTGAAGAGTTGAGGGCCCCTAGGGTCTCCACATTACGGAGTCAAACAATAGGAGGAACAATGACCACCCTATGAAAAGTACAATTTGGGTGATTAGAAAACCTTTCTAAGACTTGGAAAAAATTATATTAAATGAAGTAAGCCTAGCCCAAAGAAACATAGGTCCCTTATTTGCAATAACTAGTACATATGTAGGACAAGTAGAGAAGGTCAAAAGCTATGTACATAAGACCATATAAAATGATGTTAAGCGAAAAGAACCCCAAGATAGGAACACAGATTTTTTTCTTTCTTGCTATTGTTTCTAATGTATTTATAATGTATCATGTGATCTTTTTGTTTCTTTGTATTTTCCTCTCCCACAGTATAACCCCTGTATTTGATGTTGGTGCCCTGCATCTTGTATATACATTTTTCTAATTGGGTCAGGGAAGGGAAAAAACAAAATATTTAAATAGGATACAAGTTGACCCATTGTAACAATGAGATCTACAAGATACTATGTTTCTGGAGAACGGGGCTCTGGTGGCTCACGCTTATAATCCTAGCTACTCAGAAGGCTGAGATCTGAGGATCAGGATTCAAAGCTAGCCTGGGCAGGAAAGTCCATGAGACTCTTATCTCCAATAAACCACTAGAAAACCTGAAGTGGCGCTGTGGCTCAAGTGGTAGAGCGCTATCCTTGAGCTGAAGAGCTGAGGGATAGCGCCCAAGCCCAGAGTTAAAGCCCCACAACTGACAAAAAAAGAAAGAAAGAAAGAAACTCAGGAACAGTGTTCAGGCCCTGAACTTAAGTTCTAGCACTGGCAAAAACAAAAACAAAAGGATAGAAAGTCTGGGAATTACCAGGTACTGGTGGCTCATGCCTGTAATCCTAGCTACTCAGGAGGCTGACATGTGAGGATTGTGGTTCAAAGCCAGTCCAGGCAGCAAAGTCCCAGAGACTCTTGTCTTCAGTAAACCACCAGAAAACCAGAAGTGGTACTGTGGCTCAAGTGGTAGAGCGCTAGCCTTGAGCTGAAGAGCTGAGGGACAGAGCCCAGGCCCAGAATTCAAGTCCCATAATGGACAAAAAAGTATATATATATACATTACACACACACACACACACACATATATATATATATATATATGTGTGTGTGTAATGTATACATAACATTGACCATTTTTTCTTGTTTTTAATCGACCATGTCAGTAATTTTCTTTTGAATGAGCGAGTAGTGATATTAGTCTTTTGTCCTTGAATGTTACCAAGGACCAAATGGTGTTAGCATACATTGGTCACATGAAGGAGTTTCATTGTGATAATAATCCCATACATGTGCACTGTGTACTTTGAGTACCCCTGCTTTATATCGGCATTCCCCTCTACCCCTTTCAAATCGTCATTTCAATTCACATTCTTTTTTTCCTTCAGATGAAGTCATACGGAAGCGTCTCCTAATTGATGGAGATGGAGCAGGTGACGATCGGAGAATTAATCTGCTAGTGAAAAGTTTTGTTAAGTGGTGCAACTCTGGATCCCACGAAGAAGGGTACCTCATTTCTCTGTTGTTTCTGTTTTTATGTAGGAAATTGGGACCTGAACTCAGTATCTTACACTTGGGCTCATTGCCTATTGCTCTACCACCTAAGCCATGCTCTAACCCCGCTTTGTTGTTTATGTATTAGTCCTGTTGTAATTTCATTAAGTTTCTACAATATTTCCTTTGCCTTAAATGCCAACGGAATTAACTTTTGATTAGTCAAAAACAAACTTTATTTTATTTTTTTGTGCCAGTCCTGGGCCTTGAACTCAGAGTCTAGGTGTTATCCCTAGGCTTTTTCACTCAAGGCTAACTCCTCAATACTTGAGCCACAGGTCTACTTCTGGCTTTTTTGCTGGTTAATTGGAGAAGAATGTCAGGCTGGCTTTGAATTGGAATAATCAGATCTCAGTCTCCTGAGTAGGTAGGATTACAGGAGTGAACCACCAGTGCCTGGCACAAACTTAATGGCTTTATTTTATTTTCTTGGGGACAGGGTCTTGCTATGTAGACCAGGCTAGTTTTGAACTTACAATCCTCCTGTCTCAACCTTCCTAGAACTGGGATTACAGGTAAGTGCCACCACAACTGGCTAAGATTGTGTGTGTGTATGTGTGTGTGTGTGTGTGTGTGTGTGTGTGTGTGTGTGTGTCAGTCATAGGGCTTGAACTCTGGGCCTGGGCACTGTCTCTGAGCTCTTCAGCTCAAGGCAAGCACTTTACCACTTGAGCCACAGCACCACTTCCATTTTTCTGGTGGTTAATTGGAGATGAGAGTCTCATGGACTTTCCTGCCTGGGCTTTGAACCACAATCCTCAAATCTCAACCTCCTGAGTACTTAGGATTACAGGCGTGAGCCTCCGGCGCCCAGTGTTATGTATGTGTGTATTTTTAACAGAATTTTTTCTCTCATGTGGATTCACTTTCCACATAAAAGTGATTTATTCAGGAAAATAGTTGTTTAGGTTAAGCCTATTTTGATAAGAATATAGTCTCATCTTGCACTTATAACTAAAATGTTTTATAGCATCAAGTATACCATATTTAAATAAATATAAGGGAGAGTTATTCTAACTATTCTAGTTATTTGAAATATGATTGTCTGAAGACTTGTTATAATTTAATTAGCAAATCTTTCCCTGTCTTATAATCACTGAACTTTAGCAAAAATATTTATCTTCTTTCATTAGATATGGCCAGTACCAACGTATGCTCAGCACCTTGTCTCAATGTGAATTTTCAATGGGCAAAACTTTGCTGGTGTATGATATGAATCTCAGAGAAATGGAAAATTATGAAAAGATTTACAAAGAAATAGGTAAACAAACTTAAAGTAATCAGTTTCTTCCTTTTATTTTAGTAGTCTAAAGGAAAAATGCTAACATTTTTCTTTGGTTAGTAAAAGAATGACAATTAAAATTGTAATAGAATCCAGTAAATGTTAGCTACAGAAAAGGTTATTTGAATATGATACAGTGCTCTGGGTTACAGCTATTTCTCTAATGCCAGTTTCTATTTTGTTTGCAATGAAACTTCAATTTAGAAACACATTTTTAAATTGAAAACATGGAGATTGTATGTGTTGTTCTCATTTTTTTTAAAAAAACCCTTTTTGTTTAGAAGGTAACATTGCTGAAGCACATAAAAAAATTGCTGAGTGCAAAAAGGAGATTCTTCAAGCAAAAAGAATACGGAAGAATCGCCAAGGTAAGGGACTGAGTTTATTGATGTACAAGTGATTTTATTACTGACTGCTGTATTCATTCAGTTTTTAATATTATGAAATAAAATCTCTGTCCAGTGTCCATTTATTTTATGATTAAGAATCAGGAGCCATGTTTAATTCTTAAACTATATTCTTTAAAATAGAGAAGGAAGGCTAAAATGGAGAAGGAACTCTATACTCTGTTTTTTGCTGAATTATATTAATGATCTAATTATTTCTTAGTATTAAACTTTTATTCTCTTCAGATTATTTATTGTTTTATTTCTTTGTCAGTCATGGGGTTTGAACTCAGAACCTGGGCACTGTCCCTGATCTGTTTTGCTCAAGGCTAGTGCTCTACCACTTGGAGCCATAGGCCCACTTCTGGTTTTCTGGTGGCTAATTGGAGATAAGATTGTCACAGATTTTTCTGTCTGGATTGGCTTTGAACCACAATCCTCAGATCTCAGCCTTCTGAGTAGCTACGATTACAGGTGTGAACCACCAGCACTTGGCTTTTCAAATTATTTTTCCTAAAAATGTTATAGTTATTCAGCAAAGGTGATTTTTTTTTTTGTCGGTCGTGGGGCTTGAACTCTGGGCCTGGGCGCTGTCCCTCAGCTCTTCAGCTCAAGGCGAGCGCTCTACCACTTGAGTTACAGCGCCACTTCCGGTTTTCTGGTGGTTTACTGGAGATAGGAGTCTCACGGTCTCTCCTGCCCGGGCTGGCTTTGAACCTCGATCCTCAGATCTCAGCCTCCTGAGTAGCTAGGATTACAGGCGTGAGCCACCAGCGCCCGGCAGCAAAGGTGATTTATATAAATATACTAGAAGTGGGTTTTGTTTGTCGGTTTGTTTAATGGAGCTACTTTTTTTTTCAAAAACAAACCCAGGAAGTTTTTATTAAATACAAAATAAACAAATAATTATAGATTAATTAGTAAGAAAGAGGTTAAACTTTAGTTTTGTTCAAGTCCCTTTTGGTTTTCAATTAAGCGGTGCCATTTGTTTAGTTCATAGAAACTTCTGGAATGCTTTTCTTTTGGGCAATTCTAAGGGGTTGAACTTGGGGCTTTGGAATTGCTAGTGAGGTGCTCTACCACTTGAGCTATGTCCAAAGCCCTTAAAGTGATTTTTAATGAGGGGGGTATATTGCCCTTCCTATAATGTAATTCAGAAAGTGAAATAAAAGCTGTACAATCACAACTTTGGCAATTATATGAAGAGAAAACGTTACTGATTATTTGGTGGTTGTAGGTTTTTATGGCTTAGATTGTTTTGTTCAGTTCTGTTTTTTTTTTATACTTAGCATGTTTCTTTTGTTTTTTGTTTTTTGTTTTTGGTTGGTGTGGGCTTGAACTCTGGGCCTGGGTTCTGTCCCTGAGCTCTTCAGCTCAAGGCAAGCACTCTACCATTTGAGCCACAGCGCTACTTCCAGTTTTCAGAGTGGTTTATTGGACATAAGAGTCTCATGGACTTAACTGCCTGGGCTGGCTTTGAACCATGATCCTCAGATCACTGCCTCCTGAGTAACTAGGATTACAGGCATGAATCACTGGTGCCCAGCTGAGCATGTTTTTTTTTTTTGTAGTGCAAAAAATATCTAAAAAGATCAACTTTATTGAATATGCTGAGTTCTAGGACAATGAACTTCACACTAGTGAACTAATAATTAAGATGGCAATTTTACTTTCTCTTTTTAAATGCTCAATTTAGCCTTCAGGTAAAATGTGCTCTGAGGTTGTATGTGTGGGGTTACTAAGGCTTGAATTCAGGACCTCAAGTGCATACTCAGCTCTCTTGGTCATGGCTAGCACCTCCAGCCCAACTTTTGGCTGGTTACTTGGAGATAGTCTTACAGACTTTTCTGTTCTGACTTGCTTTAAGCTGCAGTCTTATCCAGGATCTGTAAATGAGAAAACAGAAATGGGACCTCAAAGTCCCAGCTTGAAACACTTTGATAAACTCTCCATCTATTACTGTCTTCATTTCTTTATGTACTAGGAAAGTTAGTTGAGGAGATGTATGGTATTATACATTTTATATTAATAGGTGCAGTTCCAAAATAACCCTTTATTGCATAAATATTCTTTTATCTTTTCAGAATATGATGCTTTGGCAAAAGTGATCCAGCGTCATCCAGACAGGCATCAGACATTAAAGTAAGATTAGAGCTTTCAAGAACTAGTCAGTGCTTTTTCATTTTTATAGAAATATGTAATGTGTGTCAAAGGAGTCATATATTCAGTAATATTGTGTGTGTGTGTGTGTGTGTGTGTGTGCGCGCGTGTGTGTGTGTGTGTGTCCTAGGGCTTGAACTCAGGGCTTGAGCACTGTCCCTGAGCTATTTTGCACAAGGTTAGCATTATGTTTTGTGTTTTGTGAAACTTTGGAAGCTGATTTCTTCTTAAGTTGTAAATACATACAATTTTCATTGAAAGTATATATATATATATATTTTTTTTTTTTTTTGCCAGACCAAGGGCTTGAACGGGGAGTCTGGGCATTGTCCTTAAGCTTTTTTGCTCAAAGCTAGCATTCTACCACTTAAGCCTCATCTCCACTTCTTGTTTTTTGGAGATTCCTGCAAGGCTGGCTTCAAACCAAGATCTTCAGATTTCAGCCTCCTGAGTAGCTAGGATTACAGGCTAGGCTATTTTTCAGTATATATTCAAATACTGATGATCTATAGGTCTTTTTCTTTCTCCAACCTTGCTACATATTTGTCTAAAATAAATGCATACAGTGTGCCTCAATAGGAAATACACAAATTCAATATATTCTGTTTTTTTGGTATAATACTAAGTAACAGAAAAAAAAAAACACCAAGGACAAGTATAGTGGCTCATGACAGTAATCCCAGCTACTTATGTGGAGATGGGAAGGATTGCATGACCCCATCTGAACCAACAAGCATTCAAGAGGCATAGGTAGGAAGATCATGTTCTGAAGCCCACCCAGGAAAACACGAGAAAGAGAGATTAGAATGACAGTTCTTTATTTCTTTTTCAAAAAAAGCCTTTATGTTAGTATGACAAAGTGTATCAGTTCTTAGATTTGTTTATTCTCTTAATTTTTTAAATTTAAAGGTATACTTTTGCTGGATGTTGTTGGCTCACACCTATAATCCTAACTACTCAGGAAGCTGAGATCTGAGGATCATAGTTTGAAACCAGTCCAAGCAGGAAAGTCTGTGAGATACTTACCTCCAATTGACCACCAGAAAACTGGAAGTAGTGCCATGGCTCATGGGGTAGAGCACTAGCCTTCAGCACTAAAGCTCACGGACAACCCCTAGACCCCAAGTTCAAGCCCTAAAATCAGCAGAAAAAAAACTGTAGTTTTAATGAAAATCCTGCATATTTAAGAAGAAATAAATCATCAGCTTCCAAGGTGTCACTAAACATAATCAATATTTTTATTTTAATATACTGTTTAATAGCTATAGCATTTGATATTCATTGTAAATTCTCTTCCCCCCAAATATCATAATATAAGAGCATATTTTTTTTTCAGGGAACTAGAGGCTCTGGGAAAAGAATTAGAACATCTTTCACATATTAAAGAAAGTGTTGAAGACAAGGTATTTGTATATGTATGTTAGCATTTTTGTGTTTGTATGTTTATAGATCAATTTATATAATTTTTTTCTTTGTTAATTCAGCTGGAATTGAGACGGAAGCAGTTTCATGTTCTTCTCAGTACTATCCATGAACTTCAGCAAACATTGGAAAGTAAGTAGAAATATTTCAGAACGCATGTTTACGAAGATTTTTAAATGATTGAGGAGTACGATTTTGGAATGTACATGTTGGAGAAAATATAGCTTCCAATTCTGAATAGAAATATAACATCAGAAGCTAAGCATTTGCTTAACTTTCCAAATACATGCAGGAGAGTCTCATTATGTAACAGTATGTAATTGAAGTTCATATCTAGTAGCTTAAGAAAAATCTGGAAAATAGGGAGATTTTCTTGGTTTTCTAAAGTTTATGACTATAAAATAGTTCAGTACCCAGGCAGGAAATTAATGATCACTGTATAAAGAAAATTTGACACCAAGTGAATGGTGGATGCTTAGAAGAACTGAAGACTTAGTCTTCATATTAACTGTAGAAAATTTGAAATTTCTGTTACTTGTTCTCTGGTCGTTTACCTAAAAAAGCCTAAATCTAGATTCTTTTTTTTTGGGGGGGGGTGGGTCATGGGGCTTGAACTCTGGGCCTGGGCGCTAGACCTGCACTCTTCAGCTCAAGGCTAGCACTCTACTGCTTGAGCCATAGCAACATTTCCAGTTTTCTGGTGGTTAATTGGAGACAAGTCTCATGGACTTTTCCTGGTGAGGCTGGCTTCAAACCATGATCCTCAGATCTCAGCCTCCTGAGTAGCTAGGATTACAGGCATGAGCCACCGGCGCTTGGCTCCTAGATTCTTTTTTAGTGAAATTCAAATCTAAATGCAAAATTTAAATTTTGATGAAACTAATAACAAAAACAGTATTTTTATTATTGTCTTTAAGTAGTTGTACAAAAAAGTTCCCATTCTACAAAACAGTATATGAATACAAAGTGTCTGCCAACATTGTCACCCATCCCTCCTAACCCATCCTGTCTCTCACTTTTTTTCTTTTTTCTTTTCTAATGACAATATTTTAAAGGCAAGCCTTTATATGGACTGTTTACAGCTACGGCCTGCCATTTTGCCATATTTGCTTTGAATGTATTAGCTAATAAAAGGTAAAAACATCTACTAGATACCAGTGGCTCATGCCTGTAATCCTAGCTATTCAAGAAGCTGAGATCTGAGGATTGCCACTCAAAGACAGCCCAGGCAGGACAGTCTATGATACTCTTATCTCTAGTTGAGCACCAGAAAGCTAGAAGTGAAGCTGTGGCTCAAGTGTTAAGAGTACTACCCTTTTTGACATAACGACTTGTACATCTCATTGTTGCAATGGGTCCACCTGTATCCCTTGTAAACGATCTTTTTCCCTTCCCCTCCACAAATTATACCAACATCAAATACAGTGAAAGCATGGGTTATACTGTGGGGGAGGGACATACAAAACAACAAAGAAATCATTTTATAAATACGTTAGAAACAATCGCGTGAAAGAAAAAAAAACATTTGAATACTTATCTTGGGGTTCATTTCACCTAACATCAACTTATCTGACCTTTTCTGCTTGTCTCAGATGTATACTAGATATTGCAAATAAGGGAAACCATGGGACCTATGTTTCTTTGGGCCTGGCTTACTTCACCAAATATAATTGTTTCCAAGTCTTTCCATTTCCTAACATGGGGCAATGTCATTCTTTCTAATAGAGGCATAGAATTCCATTGTGTATATATACCACATTTTCTTGAGCCATTCATCTACTGAGGGGCATCTGGGTTGGTTTTGGCTGGGGGGGGGAAGGGAAGGGATGGGAAGGGGAAATAAGGGAGGAGGCAACAGTGCTTGATAAGAAATGTACTCATTATCTTTTTTTTTTTTTGGGTCCAGTCGTGGGGCCTGAACTCTGGGCCTGGGCGCTGTCCCTCAGCTCTTCAGCTCAAGGCTAGTGCTCTACCACTTGAGCCACAATGCCACTTCTGGCTTTTTATCTTTTTGCTTATGTGGTGCTGAGGAATCGAACTCAGGGCCTCATGCATGCAAGGCAAGCGCTCTACCACTGAGCCACCTTCCCAGCCCTGTACTCATTATCTTGCCCATGTAATTGTAACCCCTCTGTATGGTATTTTCACAATAAAAAAAAAGTACTACCCTTGATCCTTGAGCAAAAAATTCTCAGAAACAGAAGCCAAGGGGCTGGGAAGGTGGCTCAGTGGTAGAGCGCTTACCTTGCATGCCTGAGGCCCTGGGTTCAATTCCTCAGCACCACATATGCAAAAAGAAAAAGGCTGGAAGTGACGCTGTGGCTCAAGTGGTAGAGCACTAGCCTTGAGCTGAAGAGCTGAGGGACAGCGCCCAGGCCCAGAGTTTAAGCCCCATGACCGACAAAATAATTGTTTTCATGTATACATTAAACATGAAATTTAGGTGAAGTTAACTAAGGTTTTATATTTCTTTCTTAATTGCAGGTGATGAAAAGCTCTCTGAGGGAGAAGAAGGTGAAGAGACTTTCATGGATATAGAACCTAAGTCATAGACAGGCTAGTCATTCATTCCCAAGGATATTAAAATAGTTACATGACTGGTGTATGTAGAATATATATTCTTGAAATATTTAGTTTTGGCAGTGAAATATTTTGCTTTTTTTGTCGGTTGTGGGGCTTGAACTCTGAGCCTGGCCACTGTCCCTGAGCTCTTCGGCCACTGTCCCTGAGCTCTTCAGCTCAAGGCGAGAGCTCTATGACTTGAGCCACAGCACCACTTCTGGTTTTCTGGTGGTTAATCGGAGATGAGTCTCATGGACTTTCCTGCCTGGACTGGCTTTGAACCACCATCCTCAGATCTCAGCCTCCTTAGTAGCTAGGATTATAGGCATGAGCCACCAGTGCCCAGCTTCGATATTTTGCTTTTAAATATTTACATTTTATTCATATTCACAAAAAGAAAATGATTTTAGTATATATTTGGTTTTATTGAAATGTGGGGTTTTTCTATTATTGTACTGGGGTTCGAGCTTAGGGCTGTGCTTGCTAGTCAGGCACTCAACAATATGAGCTTCAACCCCAGCCTGCATGTTTTATCCCCCTCCCCCACTTGCTTTTTATTGGTATCAGACATTCAATTCAGGACTCTGGGCTACCTGTTCTTACTCAAGCTTTCTTGCTCAAGAGTGAGCCATGCCTCCAGTCCAGAATTTTTTAGTGTTTCACTGAATTTGTAGTTTTCCAGATTTTTTTTTTTTACTCAGGATTGCTTTGAACTGTGATCCAGAGATCTCAGCTTTCTGAGTAAATCAAGTTGCAGTCCTGAACCACCAGCACTCAACTTGTTTTTTAGTCTTGAAAGTAGGAAACAACATGTAGAAATGTTTTAAAGCTGCATGATTTTGTTGCTTAGTACTCTCGGTAGTTTTTAACTGGTAACATTCATTGTTTTATAAAATAAGTTAGACTATAAGAAGGTGGTATTTCTAGTATATACATAAGAAAGTTAAGTCCATGAATAAAACTCCTGGGGGACCATGAACCTATGAAATTATGTGAATGACACTTGTGATCTGTATTCCTTGTGGGGAAAGGTTCCATGATGTTCAGAATCATTGATACAAGGAGAGAAATCTTAAGTATTTTAACTTAAGTGTTAAATACTAATATTAAATTTTGGTATTTAATACTTGCTTTAGTATGTAATACTGGAGAAATGTGGTTATTAAGTGTTTTGTTATGTTTTCTCTCTATGATTCCTTAAAATTCATTTTTAGTAGAAAAATAATGGAATAAAGAGTTGTTGGAGATAACAAGTTTAGATTGTCTTGCATAAATGATATCATAATCATTGTAACAAGTAAGCCAAAGCTGTCATTTGTGATTTTCTGAAGTGTTGGTTGACATGTGCAGTCCTTGGTTAGATTCCATCCTCCATTTATTTTAGATTATGACACTTGAATGAATCATACTTTAATAATGTTCGATTTATAATTTTTTGTGCCAATCCTGGGGCTTGAACTCAGAAGCTGGGTGCTGTCCCTAGCTTTTTTGCTTAAGGCTAGCAGTCTGCCACCTGAACCATATTTCCACTTCCAGCTTTTTGGTAGTTAATTGGAATTAAGAATGTCATGGACTTTCCTGCCCAGGCTGGCTTTGAACTACCATCTTCATATCTGTTTCCTGAGTAGCTAGGATTACAGGTATGAGCCAATGGTGCCCAACTCATTTGTTTTTATAATTTCAATAACATACTTTATCTTTTAAAATTAAGGCTTAAAGTTAGCTTTATACTAGTCAGATTGAAAATGTCCTAATGCCTTTAAACATTTTGTCTGACTTATCTAGTAAGTCATAGGGAATTTTTTTTTTGCAGAATCACTACACCCTCTATAAGTTTCTAGTGTTCATTATTAATGAGAACTATAAAGACTAGAGCCATGGCTCAGTGGTAGAGCTCCAACTTAGCAAAAGTACATTCCTAAGTTCAAACCCAAGTACCACAAAAATTATGAAGTAAAATTTGCTAATGTGGACTCAGAATTAAAGTCGATTTTTTCATAAAAATGGCCTTTTTTCTTCCAAAAAGATTGTTTGGCAGAAATTCCTTTGTTTTATTTTTTTGTGGTGGTCCTGGGGCTTGAACTCAGGGCATGGACACTGTCTCTGGGCTTTTTTTGCTGGAATCATAGCTCCACTTTTGCCTTTTTTGGTGATTCATTGGAATTAAGAATCTCATAGACTTTCCTGCCTGGGTTGGATTTGATACATGATCCTATAACTTAGTCTTCTGAGTGGCTAGGATTATAGATATGGGCCACTGGCTCCTGGCTTTATTATTTATTTATTTTATTATTACTATTTTTTGTACTGGTATTTGGATTTAGGGCAGTTGTGTTCTTACTTAGCTTCCTTGCACACAGCTAGTACCACTTGAGCTAAGCTTCCAGTCCAACATTTTGTTGGTTATGTAGAGATGGACTCTCACAGACTTTTCCCCCCAGTAGCTAGGATTATAGGCATGAGCCATCAGCACTGAGCTTGCATGTTTTTTATTTTCTTTTTGTTTCATTTTGGCACTGGTACTGGGTCTTGAATTCCTGGGCTTGGATACTGTTGCTGAGCTTTGTCATTCAAAGCTGATACTGAATCACTTCTCCAGTTTTTTGAATGGTTAATTGACAATAAGAGTCTCACAGACTCTTGCCCTGCCTGGCTTCAAACCACTACTCTGTAAGCTCAGTCTTAGTTAAGATTACAGATGTGAGCCAACAGCAGCTGGCTGCTTGTTTGTTTTGAGACAGGTTCTCTCTTTTAGCCCAAGCTGGGCTGGAACTCGTAATCTTGTTCCCTCCCAAGTCCTGGAATTTTACACAGGTTATGTGCCACCATGCTTGGAGAGAATATTGTTTTAAAATGCCCTCATTGATTAATTCACTGAAGAGATTTGTTCAGAACTATTCATCTAAAGATAAGGATCTCTATCATTCCCAGGGAGGACAAAATTAGAGCATCAACAGGTACATGGGAAATACAAAATTTTCAGTTTATATTTCAGACTCTTGGATATCCTTTAGACTTGTCTTGATTACAGAGTTTCTGTCCTTAGAAACTTCCCATGGTAGCTCAGAATGTCTCGGCTAGTAGCTTCGTGGACTTATCAGTCACTCTCTGTGTCATCCAACAATGACAGACAAATACAAAGAAATTAAAAGTATTGGGGAAAACTGGTCTAAACCAAAGAGATGGTTGCAAGTCCAAAGTTTTATTCTGATTCATAATAGCAAACAAAGCTTGAAAATAAAATTTACTACCTCATTCTGTACAAAAAGCCCATGTTAATAGAATCTGCTTAATATTTATTAAGCACAGAGCATCATCCTAGATGTCCCTATCAACTCTCAGAATGCCCTCCACTAACAATTCTTTTTGTTTCTTTTTTTTTTTGTCAGTGGTGGCACCTGAACTCTGGGCCTGGGCACTGTTCCTCAGCTCTTCAGCTCAAGGCTAGTGCGCTACCACTTGAGCCACAATGCCACTTGTGGCTTTTTCTGCTTATATGGTGCTGAGAAATTGAACCCAGGGCTTCATGCATGCAAGGCAAGCACTCTACCACTGAGACACCTTCCCAGCCCCTTGTTTCTTTTTTTAAATTGTTATTGTGAAGGTAATGTATAAAGGGATTACAGTTACATAAGTCAGACAGAGAACATTTCTTTTTGGACAGTGTCACCCCTTTCTTTGCTCTCTCCCAGTTTTTCCCTCCTGTCCCCATCCACAAGTTGTGTAGTGCATTTTCAATAGTATGACTGCTGCATTTGTCACCCTTTGTCCCAAAATTTCTCTGTCCCCCATTGCTCTCCCAAAGATAGACAGACTAACAAGACAAAAAGAAAAGAACAAAAACAGAAACAAAGGAAAAAGAAAACCTCAGCTGGCCGCCCGGTGGCTCACGCCTATAATCCTAGCTACTCAGGAGGCTGAGTTCTGAGGATTATGGTTCAAAGCTAGCCCAGGCAGAAAAGTCCATGAGACTCTGATCTCCAATAAACCACTAGAAATCCGGAAGTGGTGCTGTGGCTCAAGAGGTAGAGCACTTGCCTTGAGCTGAAGAGTGCAGGGACAGCGCCCAGGCCCAGAGTTCAAGCCCCATGACCGGCAAAAAAAAAAAAAAAAATAAATAAATAAAAAAAAGAAAACCTCTTGTTTCCATTTTTGGAGTTCATTCCTTTCTTTTGCTTTTCTTTTCCTTCCTTCCTTCCTTCCTTCCTTCCTTTCTTTCTTTCTTTCTTTTTTTATGCTGGTCCTGGGGATTAAACTCAGGGTTTAGGCACTGTCCCTGAGCTTCTTTGGCTTACAGCTGGTTCTCTACCATTTAAGTCACAGTGATTTCTCTGAGTAGTTTATTGGAGATAAGAGTCTCACAGACTTTTCCCGCCCATGCTGGCTTTGAACTGCTATCCTCAGATTTTGGCCTCCTGAGTAGCTAGGTTATAGGCATGAGGCACCGGCTTTTGGAGTTCATTTCAATAAATATTATTTTGTGCTGGGTACTGGTGGCTCATACACATAATCCTAGCTACTCAGGTGCCTGAAATCTGAGGTTCACGTTTCAAAGCCAGTCCAGACAGAAAAGTTCCCATGAGACACTTATCTCCAATTAACCATTCAAAAACTGGAGTTGGCATTGTGGCTCAAAGTGGTAGAGTACTACCCTTGAGCAAAAAAGCTCAGGGACAGCACCTAGGCCCTGAGTTCAAGACCCATGACAAACAAAAAATATCTTATATGATCAGATGAATATAGCTATTGGTTTCCCTCATTTGTTGTAACTAGAATATGCCAATACATCAATAAGTTAACACAGTAGATGATAAACAAAAAAACAAAAAGAAAAAACACGGGAACAGGATAAATTATACAGGTCTCTAAGCATTCACACATTAACACCAAAGGAGAGTATCCACTAACTATTCTTTATGTTAATTATTAATTTGTGTCCCACATCCAGGCTGTCCAAGTGACATATGTGAATTAAACCTGGATCTCTAATCCTGGTACTTGGTAGGTAGAGGCATGAGGATTACAGGGGTTTTATTTATAGGTGTGAGGTACCTTAGCAGGACTTCAAGTTTGAGGCTAACCTGGACTACATAGTGAGATCCTGTCTCAAAAACAAAAATGCACACAAAAAAAAACAGCAAGAAAGTAGAGACTTGCTTTAGATGGATAAAGGAGATGATA